AGAGAGAGAGAGAGAGAGAGAGAGAGAGAGAGAGAGAGAGAGAGAGAGAGAGTAAAATGTAATTATATATAAAATTTATAACACGACATATTGTTATTCTACCACTAAATATTTTCAATTTTGCTAATTTTAATGAGAATGTTAACAATAGATTCATTTTATTTTAGGTACGGAGGAATTATTTAAGGAAGAAGAAGGCAAAGAAGACGAGGCTATTCATTACGATGATAAAGCTGTCGCTGAATTATTAGATAGAAGTAAAGAAGGTATTGAACAGAAAGAGAATTGGGCCAACGAGTACTTAAGTTCTTTCAAGGTTGCCTCATACGTGACGAAGGAAGGAGAAACGGAAGAGGAGGCAGATACGGAGATAATCAAGCAGGAAGCAGAAAATACAGATCCAGCGTATTGGATCAAGTTGCTTAGACATCATTACGAACAGCAACAGGAGGACATCGCTAGAACACTCGGCAAAGGTTTGTCTGCATTGATGTCTTTATGCATTGTCTGCATTGATGCAATTATGTTGGCACATTAAACGTTTTACGTCTCAGTTATAACAACTAATATACATAAAAACTTATGCATCGATATGTCACTTCTGCAATTTCTTTTGTCGTCACGCGCATTATATGTGTATGTTTTTATATTACAGGTAAACGAGTACGAAAACAAGTCAATTACACTGACGGCGGTGTAACTGGCGACCAAGGCGCAAGAGATGACCAGCCGTGGCAAGAAAATCTGTCGGATTATAATAGTGACTTTAGCGCTCCTAGCGACGATGACAAGGAAGACGATGACTTCGACGAGAAAGGTGATGGAGACTTGTTGTCACGCAGAAGTAGACGCAGGTTGGAGAGACGTGACGAAAAGGATAGACCTTTGCCGCCTTTACTTGCAAGAGTAAATGGAAATATCGAGGTTGGTATAATTTATTCAAAAAAGAATATTATATATAACGCTTTTCATGTATATATACAATATTTTCGTATATACTTGATATATTCGCAGAAATATAAATTTTATCATGATTGGAATTTGATAAAATATTGTGCAATCTATACATAAAACAAATTAAAAAATTATATTTTTTTTATACTCATATGCGCAGGTACTTGGTTTTAATGCAAGACAACGGAAAGCGTTCCTTAATGCAATTATGCGCTATGGAATGCCACCGCAGGATGCTTTCAATTCCCAATGGTCAGTTGCTTATTATAATATTATTACTTTAACATATCATACTTTGACACACATACACACGCACACACACACACACACACACACGCGCGCGCGTGTGTGTGTGTGTATAATATATAATCTCTAATATCTCTAATATCTCTAATATAATCTCTAATAATAGTATCTCTAACATTAAAATATTTAGGTTGGTACGCGATTTGCGTGGAAAATCCGAAAAAAATTTTAAAGCCTACGTATCGCTGTTTATGCGACATCTTTGCGAACCAGGCGCTGATAACGCAGAAACGTTCGCAGACGGTGTGCCGCGAGAAGGTCTTAGTCGGCAGCACGTATTAACAAGAATTGGTGTAATGTCTTTAATAAGAAAGAAGGTACCGTTTACTAAATTCTTACATTACTGCAATTGTACAAATTTGGAAAAAATATAAAGAAATACAGAAACCTGTTATTACTAATAGGTGCAAGAATTTGAACATATAAACGGTTACTATTCAATGCCGGAGATGATACGAAAACCAGTAGAACCTGTGAAAGTTGGTGAAGGGGTTGGTGATGCAGCAACCGGCACTAGTAGTACTAGTGCTACACCAGCCACCTCAAATGCTCCTAGCCCTAGTCCTGCCGCCACACCAACTCCGACTCCGACTTCGACATCTGGTACGGGCAATGAAACTAACAAGACGAATTCTGATTCATCTGAAGCTAAAGAATGTAGAGATGAATCGAAAGATAAAGAGGTTGGTATAATATATTGAACAGTATTTTTATAAGATATTATTTTCTTCTTTATTTTAGCAATGAATTTTATGACATCACTTGTTATAATATGCCGTTGTGATCGTTAATGGATAATTATTGTTTACTTTTCAGAGTGGTGACACAAAGGATTCTAAGGAAGATCCAAAAAGCTCTAAGGAAGACGATGAAACGAGTTCTGAAAAAGATAAGGAAAAAGAGGATGTCAAGAAGGACGAGAAGGATGCTGAGACAGAGACTACTGAGAAGGAAAAAGATAAAATTGATACAAAAGATGAAAAGGTTACAGTAAAACATGAGGATAAAGCGGAGAATAGTGAAAATAAGCTCAAATCTGAATCCGAGGAAGATATTGTTATCGTTAAGGATGATGAGGAGGAAGCTGAGAAACGAGAGGTATTGTTTATACAAAATTAAACGCGCGTTTTGCTTTTGTCAACAGTTTAATGTACATCATACTTTAATGTTTAGGAGAAAGATAACAAAGAGAAGGAAGTAAAGGACTGTGATGCAGATGTAATAAAGCCTAAGCGCAAGTTCATGTTTAACATAGCCGACGGTGGCTTCACGGAATTGCATACGCTCTGGCTGAACGAGGAAAAAGCTGCCGTTCCTGGTCGTGATTACGAAATTTGGCATCGTCGTCATGATTATTGGTTGTTGGCTGGTATTGTCACGCATGGCTATGGCCGTTGGCAGGACATACAAAATGACATTCGGTAATAGAATTATCCATGTAATATATAAACAATTCTATAATAATTCTATATCACAGTATCAATATCTTAGAACTATAATTACTTTATTTGTATTATGTAATTATTTGTGTATGTGAGATGCCTACTTTAATGAATCGC